TCACTGGAAACAAGGAAAGACTGATGAGCCACTTGCAAAATAAAAAAAAAGGTTTACACAGAAACTCACCTCCAGAGCAGAGGAAGTGTTGGTGGTGTAGTCTTCTCTTGAAGAAAGAGACAACGAAGCCTGATCGAGCTACAGGAACAGAAAGACAACAGGTTTGCTGCTACGTCATTTCTGAGTTTTTCTGTTTTTCTGCAATTTCACTGCCACAGTAAGCTAGGTCATTAAGCGCTGACTTTAGAGCTTTGAAAACTTATAAATGTATAACAAATGTTCGAGAATCCAGATGTATCAGCGCCAAATAACGACTTGTTTTATTTTCAATGAATCCAGAAAACCAATGGTTCAGATGTTTGAAAACTGACAATGACATCCATGTTAATGAGTTGATTAAACTGCTTACTACAAATCAGTTACATGTAAAACAGTTCAATCTAAATGCTTACACTTGAAGACTTTAACATCAATAATTTGTGGATATCTGACCTTGATTATGTAGTAAGAGGAGTTTTTGTCATCAGGGGAGACGTACAGACGTATCAGGACGCTCTTGCTGTGCTGGTTCCTCATCTCTGCCAGTGTCTTCAGGAGACTCCACTGACTCTGAGACCACTGGTACTGGCCGCCAAGCCCATCCCCCACCACAGGCCACCGAAACTCAGGCTGTCGGAGCATTTTTAGCATCGGTCTGGTGTCCACTTCTTCCAGTATGCCTTTATAGAGACATATATGACCGTTAGCTTTCTTCTATGATTCATACTGTTGGTGACGCAGGTTTTGATACCAGCTTCATTGTTTTTATCTTTACAGACTAAGTTAAATCCATACTAAAACCAAAATATATTGAGTCACTAGATGTTGATTAAACATGATAAAATAGCATCTTAATTTGCCTTTTAACAATAAAAGATCATAGAAAAATCTAAATTGATTGACGGATTTAGATTGATGAACTTACAGTAGGACTCTAGATGGATCAAATAAAAGTAAGAAAAAGAATAATATAGATGTCTGTAGGCTAAAACCCATAAGACCCATATAAAACTTGGTATATCACGAAATTTAGTATGGTGCTGTGATAAAAACTCCCTTAGCTTCCTTTTGTTGCTTCTCTTTGTTCCTCGTAATGTTTGTGGCTGCTTTGGACCATGAAAACCCAG